ACCCAGGATCTACATCCCAGCCTATAAATGATAATTATTAATGACTATCATTGCTGTTGCTCCTGTGATCAGATGGTCCACAGACCCCAGGGATGGATTTCCATTCTACTTTTTAAGTTAGTCATCTTTCCCTCTTATTGACCTCCTTCTGTTTTGTCTTCTTTGGGTCTTTTCTGTCACCAGTCTTGAGTCTGCTGGCATTTCTCCCTCTGGGTGGGCTTCCTTTGTTCCCCTTGGAGAGCTCAATTGCTGCTGACTCTCACAGGGTATGGGCTCTTCATGCCTCGGCAACATCAGTCAATAAAGGTAAATTACAAAATCATTTGTTTTATTTGTTCTTATTACCTTGAGGGCTGTCTAAAATTGCCTTGCTTTTGAAAGCCACATTTGCATATCTCTATGCTAGAGTCAAAGGCTGCAGCTGTGGTTTCACTGCAATTTAAATATTAATAAAACCTCATAAACCTCTAGCTGTTTTTTTTTTTTTTTTTTAAGTAGTTTGGCCCTTCTGCTCCTAAGTTGCTAATATAATTTAATCTTTTGTCCTTTGCTTTGTATTTGCTTAAAGAGCCATTTTGGAGTTAACTGAAGCCAGCTGCTGTAACCTGGTAGATAAGAACCACTTACCACCCCACAGACTATTCTCAACAGGCCCAAGACTCACCTCTCCTGGAGACAAAAGTTAAGGGGCCACAGATAACATTTTATACCAACTAGCATGACTTATACTCAGCCCAAGGTTCTGGGACTTGAGTCTGCTGTAGAATCACAGGTTGCTGGGCCCCATCCCCAGTTTCTAATTCAGCAGGTCTGGGTGAGGCCAGGGAACTTGCACACTTAAGTTACTAGGTGATGCTACTGCTCACATGGAAGAGAATGGATGCTATGCTTTGGGAACCACTGCACTCAGCTGCATTTCAAGCTACCATATCATTTTGGGTCCGGGAAACTAGGTTTTCAAAGTTCATGTTCCCAGGTACCATAATATTGGGGAAATGTCCAGATCTTAATTCCTCCCAGCCCTTCAAATAATGGCTTAGATTCTCCCAATCATCCTAATGCACAGAATAAGAGCCTTCTATACTCCTCCAACCTCTGCTCTCTGTAGGAGCTGGCTGTTACCAGCTCTCCTTAATTTTCTATTTGCCCAGATTCATTTCTTTAATTTTCTCCTTGTTACAGGCAGATTTACAGGCTGTTAGTGGGAGTGAGGCCTCATTGAAATATGGTGAGGAGGTCCCCAGCTCAGCCATTTTGCAGCCATTTATAAGTGAGCCCCCACATTCCCTGGGTAGCAGGCCCCATTCTCTCAGGCTTCTTTCAGCAGATCTGTAGTTCCCCCTCACCCTGCTCTTCTCTGTGCCATCTGCATCTGGGGCTGTCCTTATCGGTTCCTGACAGCCTTTGCAGGATACATTCTGGGCAGCTTGGCTCCTTCCACTCAGACCACCCAAACGCTGATTTTTTTTTTTTCCTTTCTTGCATGTTTTTGAGCTGATACTTTGTTGATGATGCTGGTTGCATTTTTTAGCAAGGAGATAATCTGCTGGAGCTCTTCTCTAGCCCCCTCCCCCTGTGCCCTCACTATAATCCTCCTCCTCTTTTCCTTCCAGCTTCTTTGCAGTTCATTTTGTGAAATGAGATAAAAGGCAGTGTAGGAACTATTTCCCAAGTGCTGCTGTGCCCAGAGAGGGATAGAGATTGTGGGGTGGAAACGTGGAAGGACATCTTAAAGTCAGAAGTCAAGGGAACAAGAATATTTATCCCAGCATCAGATAGGACTCAAACTGGGCCAGGCAGTCTGAGGACAAGGCCAGAAGTTGAATTCTGGGAAAGGTTTTGCAGAGCATGAATCAGATGGGGTATACAGTTTTTAGAAAACCTTGAGAGATAATTATAAAAGACTTAAAAAAAAAATCTGCTTTCATCTAGGATTCCTGGAAAGGCAGTAATGTACTACAAGATGGATGTTGCTTTTTCTATTAACCCATCAGGTGATGGGGGGCAGAAGACTGAGGCCAAATTCATCTCCAAGGCCCAGTGAGTCATGACTGGTCCCTGGAAATGAGACACTGAGACAGAAGACTGGACCAATTGCACTTCTGCTTGCTTCTCACCTGCTTTTACCACTAACCCCAAGAACAATCAACTCTCTGGCAGGAAGACAGGGAGCTGGCACTGGTCCAGGGGAGGCCCTGATGTAGTTGAGGCTGAACTGGAAGGCTCTGACAAGTGAAAAATACAGTCAGAAGCTGGAAGATTGGAAGGGAGTAGAAATGGTAGCCGTGATCCAATTCTATAAGTCTACTTGCCTGTCATAGGGTTGCTTTTACTGTTTCTCACCATGGCCCCCAAAGGAAGCAAGTGCCAATTCCTTATACAACCTGCTCCTCTTCCAAAATTCCCTTAAGACTTTAACCAAAGTCTTCTGGCTTGGGTTCATGACTAATTCAGGTGGAAAACTGAATGATGGGATGGAAAGGCAGTTTCAGATCTCCATACAGTCATTTACTAGCTATGTAAACTTTTGAGCAACATCTTATAAATAAGGAACTGGAACCTCAGTCCCCATTTTTCAAGAGGTGATAAATACCCACTTTACAGGGCTATGATGAGGACTAACAGATAAAATATAATAATGGCAGTTAGCTCCATTTTCTTTCTTTCCTCGCCCTCTACAAATACAGCAGTACTGAATTGTGTGATGACTATTTTCTTTGCCTCAAAGAGGATTCCAATCTCTGAATAGTGTAAGGGCCAGGAAATGATGAACAGAGTGTTATCTGTGGATTAAGCATGTTAAATAGAAGTGGTAGACAGAATTCTAAAGCTGTCCTCTCTCAATTGCTGTCTCCTGGTTATTTAATCGAACATTCACCTAGATAATGCTGTGAAGGGACTTTGTAGCTAATAAAGTAAGGGACATCAAGACAGAGAGATCACCCTGGCTTACCTAGTAGGTACAACTTAATCATCCGAGCCTTTTTTTTTTTTTTAAAGAAAGAGTGAGAGAGAGTGAGAAAGAGGGAGAGAGAGAACTTTTTTTTAATATTTATTTTTCAGTATTTGGCGGACACAGCATCTTTGTCTGTATGTGGTGCTGAGGATCAAACCCGGGCCGCACGCATGCCAGGCGAGCGCGCTACCACTTGAGCCACATCCCCAGCCCTCATCCGAGCCTTTAAAAACAGAACAGTCTTCAGCAGGAGTTAGAAACATGAAGTAGACAAAGAGATATAGCATGAGAAAAATTGGCCCAGGCAAGACTGGTTTTGAAGATGGAGGAAAGTGGTCAGGAGCCTAGGAATATGGGTGGCCTCCATAATAAGGATCTCAGTTCTGCAGCCACAAGGAACAATTTGGCCAATAACACGAATGAGCAGACTGACCTCCAGAGCCTCTAGAAATAAACATAGCCCTGCCAACACCTTGGTTTTGGATTGAACCAAGAGCCTTATACATATTAAACTTGCATTCTGCCACTAAGCTACATCTCCAGCCTTCTGACTTACAGAAATAATAAACAGAGGTTGTGCTGATGCAGTGGCACATGCCCATAAATCCAGTTACTCGGAAGACTGAGGCAAGAGGATCACAAGTTCAAGGTCAGCCTTGGCAACTCAGTGAGACCCTGTTTAAAAACACACACACACACACGAATGCAAACAGATATTGCTGTAAGCTACTGCATTTGTGATAATTTGTTGTGGCCACAGTAGAAAATACAAAAGGCCCTTTAGCTGCCCCAAGAAGTTGAAGCACAGAGAAAATCTGCAGGTATAAGCCCCAAGAACATTCTTGGTGTTTGCTACTGAGTTTATTTGAAGTGTTCACAGCACAATATTTACAAAATATATTTTGTACAATCAAGTCTGCATTGCTCTTGCACACTGGGGGACAAGGGAAGACCTAGTCCTTCCAACGGCTATAAACAGTTTTGCATAACGAGTATATGAAAAATACTTCCTCTTCCTTCAGCAAGGAAAATTATTTATGAAGTTTTATGGTTCAGCAATAGGGAGCAAAGGGAAAAAAATTACCTCAAAGAAAGCAACAGCTCCTTTCCGTGGGATCCATCATTTTACAGGCATGAAATATTCGTATCTAAGATCTTATATTTTAAGAGGAATGGATTATATACTGGAGCAATAACAATAAACTTTTTTTTTTTTTTTTTTTTTTTTGCTAATGAGGAATTAGAGAGCTCTCTCTGGATATAGGGAGTTCTTGAAAATATTCTGTTTCAGAGCATATTCTTTAAAAATCTAGCAATTTATACTCTAGACTTTTGGAGATCTCCTTTAACTCACTCTCAAATTTCATATTCATATTCATTATCTGCCTCTGAATTTCCTCCCCAATGCTCGACTCTAACATTTAAGAGCTGCTCAAGGACTGTTCTGATTGTAAGTTGTATCACAGATCCTTTCACTGAAGGGCCTGACTCTTGGCTTTTATGAACACAGGGTTTTAGAGAAACAAACTTGGGGAAACCAGCTATTCTCTTGAGGCCAAGCCACTATATGTCTCTAGGCCTAAGTCAACAAGTCCAGTACCAGAAACAGGGCTGATAAAAATGAATCAGTATCTAGCTCAATTGGTGGAATTTAAATGGTTTTAAATTCTTCTCAGGTGAAAAGCTGTAACAATTTTGTTCTCATGGCAGATTTCAAAGGGACATTTGAAGTAGAAAATCTTTAAGGGACCCTAACAAAGCCAGAAGTTCTTTTCAGGCTGATGTGTATAAATATTTAATAACTATGGAAAGACTCAAGAGTAAGAGGAGCTCCTCAGGCCTAAGGTGGAAAGGCCATTTATTTTATTTTATTTTTTTGGGTACCAGGGATTGAACTCAGGGGCACTCAACCACTAAGCCACATTCCCAGCCCTATTTTGTATTTTATATAGAGACTGGGTCTCACTGAGTTGCTAGGAATTCGCTTTTACTGAATCTGGCTTTGAACTCTCAGTCCTCCTGCCTCAGCCTCCTGAGCCACTGAGATTATAGACGTGTGCCACCACACCCAGCTGGAAAGGCCATTTTTTAAGCTCATCTTTGAGGTCCTGTGGTTCTAGACACATGGTTGGCTGCAGTCAGCAGTGGCTGGGTGAGATCTGTGGTATCAGGTAGGTGTCCAGCTCCTGGCATTGGTAGAGGGCTACACTGTCCAACACCCACTCTCTGGTCACCACAGGTGCCTTACACATCTGTTCAATTGCTGGGGACAGAGCACAAAGAGATTAGTGTCAGTTCATTCTCTCAGAACAGATTCTAATCAATCTACTCTGGGGACGTGGCTATGTGAGTTCTTAGGACTAATCACGTAAAAGCCAAATTATTGCACATAAGCAATGCTTGAGGACATAAATCCTTGTTCAAAAACCTAAGGGGTGACTGCTGGTGAAAACCAGCCTCTGGCAATTTTATTAGCATGGGCTACAATCTGGTAAAGGAAACGCCACCAGAAAGAGCAAAATGGCATTGCAATTTAAAGATTAGAAAAATGTCTTTTGTTTTAATTTTGTTTATTTATTTAGGTTCTGGAGATAGAACCCAGAGGTAGTTTAGATATGGCCTCACTAAGTTGTTGAGGCGGGCCTCAAACTTGTGATCTTCCTGTCTCAGCCTCCTGAATCACTAGAATTACAGATGTGTGCCACACCTGACATGATGTGAAAAAATATCTCAAATAAAAAACCAAAACATGGTGATCATCTTCAAGTGCTGGGTTTTAGCAATTATTTTGTTCTCGTGCTAGATTATGTTTTCTGTGACAAACATTCATATTTAAACCTCCTTCACCCTTCAACGCCAGGCCAAGAGATGTATGCCTATAACCCCAACAACATAGGAGGCTGAGGCAGGAGAATCACAAGTTCAAGGACAGCTTGGGCAACATAGTGAGACCCACATCTCAAAATGATAATGCCCCCTCCCCCCAAAAACCCTGCCCCCCATGCAAAAAGTTCATGATTACTTCTCTAACAAAAAACTAAACAAGAACAATGTTAAAAAGACATTTACATATTATTATTTTTTGCAGTACTGGGGATTTGAAACCAGCAACATACACACACACACACACAACAAAAAAAAAAAAAAAAAAAAAAAAGAAAAAGAAAAGAAAAGTACTCTACCACTGAGCTACACCCCCAGCCCTTTCGTTTTTGGTTTTGAGACAGGGTCTTGCTAAGTTGCTGAGGCTGGCTTTGAAATTATTATTATTTTTTAATATGTATTTATTTATTTATTTTAGTTTTTGGCGGACACAACATCTTTGTTTGTATGTGGTGCTGAGGATCGAACCTGGGCCGCATGCATGCCAGGCGAGCCCGCTACCGCTTGAGCCACATCCCCAGCCCTGGCTTTGAAATTATGATCCTCTTGCCTCAGCGTCTCAAGTCCCTGGGATTACAGGCATAAACCACCACACCTGGCTAAAAAGACATTGTAACTATCCATTCTTTCAATAAATATTTAAAATGTGCTGAGAACTATGCTACTCAAGCACCAGGTGATAAATGGTGAACCAAACCCATCCAACAGAACCCCAAATAACATAGGAGCATGCAGACATCTTACCATGGAAGCCATTGTCTTCTGTCCAGGCATCTGGTTGTATAACCACAATTGGCTGAGCACCCTGCATCCCCAGGAAGAAAAAAGTATTGAGGGTGTCATAGCAGGGCTTTTGCAATAGTTACATCACCATTTTTTTTTTTTTTTTGTCTTGGTATTAGGGATTGAACTGATGGGCACTTAACCATTGAGCCACAACCCCAGTACTTTTTGTTTTTTGAGATAGGGTCTCGAGTTGCTGAGGCTGGCCTTGAACTTGTGATCCTCCTGTCTCAGCTCTTGAGCTGCTGAGATCACAGATGTGTGCTGGCACTGCCACTTCACCACTTCTTGGTTTCTAAAGCAGAATACATTGGCAGCAGCCACAGAAAAGAGGGGGAAAGGCACATGGCAAGAAGGGGAAGGAAGACGCCTCCTCTCAGTGTATTATTAAATACTTGTAGTTATCAAATTCTTACTTGGGCCTCATAGATGGAGGCCCAAAAGACACAAGCACATGGTCAGAGAAGGCTCCTGAGGCTACATTTTGGGAAATTATGAGACTGCTGGGTACCAGCCTTGCTCAATTGCAAGACAGAATACTGTGTCCTTCCTCGGACAGGGCAGCAAATACTTACCGTGTCAAGGGTGAGTGACGAAATTTCCTTTACCACAGAAGCTCCACACAGTTGCACCATCCATTCCAGTTGATCTAAACAGGGCAATCAGACCCAAAATTACCATGGTGATCCACATATATAACCCTATACTACATATCCCTGGAGGAAAGATTACAGCAAGACTTAGTAGGAGAGTTTCTATCTCTGCCCCAAAGAACAGAAAGGCTGTAAAGTATTCTAAGTCAATTTGCCACTGATTTGCTGCCATCTACTCTGGCTATCCATTTCCATAAGTCCACTTGGAAGATAAGGTTTTATAATCTTTAAAAAAAAAAAAAAGCTTGAAAGAAAAAAAAAATCCAAGATCTAATTTCCATTAATTTGCTAAGTTGCTAGATAAGATACTGTGTAACAAAACATCCACCTTCCTTCCCTTCCTGCATCCTAATTCTGTGTTGGTAATTGATAATCACAGCCATTGAGAGCACCATACTTGGTGGTAATTACTGTAAATGTCAAGAGACAGGAAGATAATTCATCCAGTGAAAAAAATATACATCATCCTGGTCAGAGACTCAGTGTATCAGTGGGGAAAGGCTACATGCTGAGATGGAATCAGCAGACTCAGGGGTACAGAAATTAACAGAGATTGAAGAGATGTTCCACTTGCACCTGGAGAATCAGTAAAATCAATGGGTGTCTTCTGGGTCCCTTTGGACATGCTTTGCAATAAGTCATCCATGGATGAGCTCTTCCCTATCAGTTCATTTCTGAGAATTGCTGAAGTGCTCCTGACTGTCTGACTGAATCAAAACTCACTAACTCATTCCAAAAATGGTACCTGCTAGAGATACCTGCTTTTCACCATACCAAAGTAAAAAAAAAAAAAAAAAAAAAAAAAAAAAAAAGAAAGAAATTCTTCAATGAACACTTGGAAATTTCATAAAAATCCAACAATAATCAGTGGAAGTAGGAAGCAAAATTATATTGCCAGTCTCCCTTGTAGCCACTTATCTGCCAGTAACCAAATGCTAAAGCCTTCTTCTCATGAGCAAGAGGACCTGAGCTCCTGGGGCAGAAGTGGGGCATAGGAAGCAAAGGTAAGTAGTCTTTGTTTTGAAAAGAAAGAACAAAATCTATATATACACAAGGGCCTTAGTGTCAAACAATACCAGAGTTGAGCCCCACAGCAGTCCTAATCATCACATTCAATGTCAAATGTAATTAGAAAATATTCATCAAGAGTCTGCCCCTGCTCTGGGCCTGTGCATGGCCCCAGACTCACAGGGCTTATGCAACTGCTGTGCTTTCTTCTCTGTATTAAATGAAGATGGTTTAGGAAGAATAAAACTCTTTCTTGACATTGACAAGCCCAAAGTATCTTCTTCCTAATTTATTATCCCTACCTCTTTCTTAGTCCAAATGGGCACTAACAACAATTTTACCCCATCTCTGTGTCCTAAATCCTAACTTTTCACTGCCCTCAAGCTCTTGAAAGGGGCAGAAGGCCTAGATTTTTGCCCTAAGATGACATTTAGGGGCTCTTCTGCTTGGAGCAGGGCAAACAGAATAAACTTCAGAATATTTCATTGATTTGAAGGATTCCGATAGTGTGATCTTGCCTGTACTATTCCACCATGTAAGAAAGAGGCTGGAGCTGGAGCTTTGTATTTCTTTTAAGATCCTCACCTGTGGGCATGTTGGTAAAAGGCCCATAGCAACAGATTTTTAGGCCCCTGAAGATCTGTAAGGAGAGAAAGAGGGACAAGGGATGGAGAGAAACATGGTTATAATTGAGTATGGGTTTTTATAAAAAATAAAGACTCTCAAAAGAAGCTTCCTGTATTATTTATTTCTTCATTTTTGTGGAGTGATACTGGGGATCACACCCAGGACCTTGTGCATGCTAGGCAATTATTCTACCACTAAGTTATATCCCTAGCCCTTATTTTTTAAAATACTTTTTTTTAGTTGTTGATATAACTTTATTTTATTTATTCACATGTGATGCTAAGAATCGAACCCAATATCTCACTCACACCAGGCAAATGTCCTACCGCTGAGTCCCAGCCCCAGCCCCGATCCTTATTTTGACACAGGATCTGGAACTGTAATCCTCTTGCTTTAGCCTCCCAAGTACCTAGAATTTTACATATATATATATATATATATATGTATTTTTAAATTATTTGTTCTTTATATATATACTGTATGTATTATATATATACAGTAGAGTGCATTACTTCTTTATATTTAATAAGACCTGGATGGCAAGAGATTCAAAGCTACTGGTTGAAATTTGATGCTTATCCAGAGTGGCACAGCACTAACCATGAGACCAATCAGCAAAGCGGTCATGTTTTTGTTTACATGCTCCTTTTCTCCTGACTTTCTTCTGATTCCCAAATATCTCTCTGTCTCACTTTCCTTTGAGAATGGCCATTGCATATTATGCGGTCTACACAGTTCTTTTTTTGGGGGAGACCGGGGATTGAACTCAGGGGCACTCAACCACTGAGCCACATCCCCAGCCCTATTTTGTATTTTTATTTAGAGACAGGGTCTCACTGAGCTGCTTAGTGCTTCAATTTTAATGAGGCTTGCTTTGAACTCATGATCCTCCTGCCTCAGCTTCCCGAGATGCTGGGATTACGGGTGTGGGTCACTGCACCAGGCACAGAAATCTCTTTTATTAACAAATTAAAAGTTTTCTAGCCAGGTACAGTTGTACCCACCTATAATCCCAGCACTCAGGAGGCTGAGGCAGGAGGATCACTTCAGCCCAGGAGGATTTTTGTTGTTGTTGTTTATTTGGTACTGGGGATTGAACTCAGGGGAACTCAACTACTGAGCCACATCCCCAGCCCTATTTTGTATTTTATTTAGAGACAGGGTCTCCCTGAGTTGCTTAGTGCCTCGCCATTGCTGAAGCTGGCTTTGAACTTGTGATCCTCCTGACTCAGCCTCCTGGAGCTGCTGGGATTACAAGCACGTGCCACCACGCCCAGCTATACACAGTTCTTTATTTTTTGTGGGTACCAAGAACTAAACTCAGCGGCATTCAACCACTGAGCCACATCCCCAGCCCTATTTTGTATATTTAGAGACAGGGTCTCACTGAGTTACTTGGCACCTCACTTTTGCTGAGGCTGGCTTTAAACTCATGATCCTTTTGCCTCAGCCTCTGAAGCCGCTGGGATAACAGGCGTGTGCCACTGTGCCTGGCATACGCAGTTCTTAATGTGAACACGAGGACTGGTTTGTATCTTAAGTTGATCAGATTGCTTGGTTTTCTGAAGACAGATCACACACTTCTCCTAGGGGTACTTCCACTTACAAGTGTTTGGCAGTGCTAACAAAAGAATTTTCAATGATACTGGAAATGTTCTGTATCTGTGCTAGTAAGGTAGCCACAAGTCACATGTGATTGTTAAGCCTGTAAAATGTGGTTAGGATGAATGAGCACCCGAATTTCATATTTCAATCTTAATTTGAACAGTTCTATGTTGTTGGTGGCAACTGTGTTGGACAATACAAATTCATTGGCATAGATTCTTAGAAAAATACTTGGGTATTATATAAAAGAAACCTAGACGGGCTGGGGATGTGGCTCAAGGGGTGGCGCGCTCGCCTGGCATGCGTGCGGCCCGGGTTCGATCCTCAGCACCACATACCAACAAAGATGTTGTGTCCGCCGAGAACTAAAAAATAAATATTGAAAATTCTCTCTCTCTCTCCTCTCTCACTCTCTCTTTAAAAAAAATAAAAAATAAAAGAAACCTAGAGTTTGGGGAATAAATCAGTGGTAGAACGCTTGCATAGCATGTGCAAGGCCCCAAGTTTGGTTCTCAGCACTGCATAAAAAAAAAAAAAAAATACCCCATACATTTGTGTCAGTTGGATGAATAAACAAATATACACTTTTAAGAAAATCAATACTAAGAGAGGAATTCAGGGCTTTTTGCATGCTAGGCAAGTGTCATACTACTGAGCCACATTCCCAGCCCGAATATGTGTGTATGTGTGTGTGTGTGTGTGTGTGTGTGTGTGTGTATATATATATATATTTTTTTTTTTCCTTGAGATAGGGGTCCTACTATGTTGCTTAGGATGTTCACAAACCCTTAGGCTCAAGTAATCTTCCAGCCCCAGCCTGCCCAGTAGCTGGGACTACAGAAATGTGCCACTATGCCCAGCAGGTGAATACTTTTTTAAAAAATATATTATTGTCTTGACCCTCTTCCTACTTCCCATTCAACTAAAAAGAAAATTACATAGGCCTCAAATTTATCTGGCCTCTAAAAGACAAAAATAGAGAAAAATCAGGAAGTTAAAAACACAGCAATGTGTCCCCCTCTCCCTATACACACACTTTACAGGCAGAGGAAAAAGAAAAGACAGCAGGACAAGTCTGTTTTTGTTTTAAGTGACAGCTTCCATTTGTACCATTCTTCCCATCTGCATGAATAAAATGCATCCTCAACCTGTTGATAGGACCTAGATGATCATAATGCTAAGAGTTCTCCCCAGGCAGCCAGCTGGAACCAAATAGTACCATGAAAAGTACAACAGATTAGGAATTTTTGCATCCAGGCTGACACTGATGAGAATGTCTAGCCATGAGATAAGGAATTTGAAGCTTTACTTCTACAAATACATTTCTCTTCTAGAGGAAAATACTAGATGACATTTAGTATCTTTAGAATGTCATTCCTTTGGCCAGGTACTTTTTTCCCCTCAGTGGCACCAGGGGTACTCTACTATCCCTTTTTGAGACAAGGTCTTGCTAACTTGCCCAGGCAGGTCTAGAATTTGTGATCTTCCTGCCACCCGAGTCACTGGGATTACAGGCACAAACCACCAAGCCCAGCAATGGCATCCTGGAAAGCAGGAAAATTCTCAAAGCACTGGAATTTCCTTTGAAGGTGGGAGGAATCTGGTGCTAATTCTGCCTTGAATCAAAAAGAGTAAAAAACAAATGGTTGGTTCTCACAGAGCTTCCCCTGGGCAGAAGGCAGAGGAAGAAGTAGGGCAAGTACTTTTCTTGACATTAGCAACAGTTACTTGATAGGCTGAGAGCGTGAGGATGGTGTTGAGAACTCCAGGCTTGATTTATGATTGTCTCCCAAAGCAGTTTTCTTTAGAAAACTCTATTGGTTCTTGCTTAAGTTTGTGTAAAAGGACAGAAGGTGCTCCTAATGGGGATGTTCTGAAATGCCCTGTGGCACTTTTTTTTTTTTTTTCTTGAGAAAAGAAGAAAAGAACACCAGGAACACAAGCACTTAGTCAGGAACTTGAGAAAGCAGCTGGCTCAGGCCTGACAGACAAGTGTGAGATCTTGCTTGGACTTCTCCCTGAGAAAAGGACACAGTTTTGGCCACATCATCTGCTACAATATTATTTGGGGAAAGCCACTGAATCTCCCTGGGCCTCATTTACAAAATTGTTTGAATATCTATTTTTCTCCTCTATAAAGCCTTCTGTAACTTTCTAAGAAGCCATGGCATGGTTGAGAGTTTAGACTTGGGGCTAGGAGGACTGGGTTCAATTTCTGGTTTCATTACTAACTAGCTATGTGACCTTGGGCCACTTACTCAAACTCTGAGCTCTTCTCATAGGTAAAATAGGTAATAATAGTACATATTTCATAAGGTCGTTGGAAAATTGATAGTCAAAATATGGTTGAGGATTTAGAACATTCCCTAACATATGGTAAACGTTCTATAAATGCCAGCTATTGTTGATTATTAACCACTTCCTCTTATATGCTCCAGCAGATAGCCCTCTATATCCCCTGTTCATAGTATTTACTACACTGCTTTAAGAAAGATACCATGGTAAAGTGGAAAGAGCAAAGGTTTTAGATTTACACTTCTATAAAAACCTAGCTCTGCCACTTATCAGCTGGAATTTGAAGCCCAGGGGGCTTGGGGCAGAATGCTTAGAAATAACTGAAACTCAGATTATGGAGAAGACTGCATGTATTGCTAAGAGTATTACTAAGAGAAATAAAGGCAAGATGGTAATCACAGGCTATTACTATGGAAAAGAACACCTAACATTTCCTAGTCACTAAATTATACAGCCTCTCTAAACCTCTGTGTTCTCTTGGTCGTACAATAGAAACATTATTTACCTTGTTGGGCTGGGAGAACTAAGAAGAGCTGTGTGAAAACACTGAGCTGGTGCTATAGCAGTGCCTAACCTGATGAAAACCACCGACACAAAGCTGGCTGGAATGGAGAACCATGGAATTCTTGTCAATAAGAGGGAGGGAGCTTTTACCTTTCTGCCCTGGGATTCTCTTGCTCGCTTTGGACCTTGGTGGTTTCTTCCATTGACTACATCTCCTCTGACTTCAAAATCATGCTGAAAGAAACCAAACCCAAACCATCAGGATCAGAGAAAGAGAAGCCTCCTTCAGTGGAAGTGGAACAAACAGGTCTGTTTAAAGAATCCAGAATTGCCAGAGTTTTAACCAAAAATAAATAAATAAAGTCATTCTTTTTGGTGGACTGGATGAAATGACCAGGATCTCAGCTGCTGAAATCAATTCATTGAAGCAAATCTTCATATACAGAAATTAACAATTGGCTTTTCACCTCACTGGGACTTAATGTATTTTAATTTTCAACATCTATCTTCTCTCAAAATATTCACTTAGCATTTAGATTAAACTGCTAATACTGTGCTGTTACAAAGATAACTGGAGAATTCCTGATCTCTTAAATCAATTGTATATTGCCATTTAAAGAAATAAGGGCTTTTCAGATTTCCACTGAGAGAGTTATAGTTAATGAAGCTAAAATGATAAAATATGTATTTACTATAGTGAAGAAAGTTACAGGTCTTTCATAATCATTACTTTGGTCAAGGAAGAGAGAATAAAGAATGGGAACTAGGCACAGTGGCACATGCCTGTAATCCCCGTGGCTCAGGAGGCTGAGATAGAAGAATTGCAGGTTCAACGCCAGCCTCAGCAATAGTGAGGCGCTAAGCAACTCAGTAAGACCATGTCTGTAACTGAAATACAAAATAGGGCTGGGGATGTGGCTCAGAGGTTGAGTGCCCCTGAGTTCAATCCCTGGCTGCTACTACTACTACTACTACTACTAATGGGATTGGGGAGTTTAGAATTTTGGGGAGAAACTTGGGGCAGAATGCTTAGAAATAATTCTGGGGCTAGGGATATAGGACAGTGGTAGAGTACTTATCTAGCACGCATGAGGCCCTGGTTCCATCCCCAGAACCACACATGCATGCCCAACACACACATTCAAACTGAAACTCAGATTATGGAGAAGACTGCATGTATTGCTAAGAAAAATAAAGGCAAGATTGTAATCACAGGCTATTACTAGGGGAAAGAACACCTAACATTTCCTAGTCACTTGAATAAGAAGAGTCTAGTGATGAATTTGCCATTTATTTAAAGATAACTGCCATGTTTATAGTCCTGATTGCACCCCTGAGCTTCTTACAATGTGTCTAACTGCTTACTTAACCATTCTCTCCAGATGTCTTGTATAAATCTCAAAAATCTACTCATCTAAAAGAATTCTTGATCCCACTCCTGTCCTCCCTCTTCCCAATGGGCTCCTCCCTCATGTCTTTTCAACTATAATAATACTAACATTCACTCAGTTGTTTAGGTCCCAAACCCAAGAATTACCTCTTTGCTTTCTCTTTACTTCATCCTCTAAATTTAATCCATTAGCAGATCCTAGCTTTATATATATTCCAAACCTACCTTTTCTTTTCTTTTTTAATATTTATTTTTTAGTTTTTCGGCAGACACAACATCTTTGTTTGTATGTGGTGCTGAGGATCGAACCCGGGCCGCACGCATGCCAGGCGAGCGCGCTACCGTTTGAGCCACATCCCCAGCCCCTAATTTCTTGTATTACTTTCTTTTTTAATATTTATTTTTTAGTTTTTCGGCAGACACAACATCTTTGTTTGTATGTGGTGCTGAGGATCGAACCCGGGCCGCACGCATGCCAGGCGAGCATGCTACCGCCTGAGCTACATTCCCAGCCCCAAACCTACCTTTTCTTACCTTCTCGTTATTCTAAGAATAAAATTCCTTACCATGGCTTATACCTAAACTTACCTGATCTGGCCCTTGTCCAATCTCTGCCCTGTACACATAATTCACCAATTATTACTCTCCAGCTACACTGGTCTTTCTTTTTTTCTGTGCTGGGGATTAAACTCAGGGCCTTATATATGCTAGGTAAGGCCTTATACATGCTAGGTAAGTGCTCTACCACAGAGCTACCTCCCCAAACCATGGTGTATTTTTCTTTAGTAAACCCAGCTCATTCTTACCTCAAGACCTTTAACATTTTCTGTTCCTCTGCCTATAACAGTTGTCCTCTACATTTTTTCAAAAACAATTCTTTTCTTTTTTGGGGGTACCGAGGATTGAACTCAGGGGTACTTGACCACTAAGCCACATCCCCAACCCTACTTTGTATTATGTAGAGACAGGGTCTCACTGAGTTGCTTAGTGGCTCGCTTTTGCTGAGGCTGGCTTTGAACTACAATCCTTCTGCCTTAGCCTCCTGAGCTGCTGGGATTATAGGTGTGTGCCGCTGTGCCACTAACAATTCTTTCTTTTCATTTAGGTCTCAGCTCAATCTTTTCAGAAAGGGCTTCCATGATCCTATCCCCAGCTGATTGCTAGTCTGTTGTTCTTCAAAGCATTTCTTGTGTCCCACTGCCCCTACCTCAAGTACTGGGGATTGAATCCAGGGTGATATACAATTGAACTACATCCACAAGCCTTTTTATTCTTTTATTTTAAGACAGGATCTTGCTAAGTTGTTGAGTTTGGCTTTGAACTTGTGCTCTTCCTGCCTCAGCCCCCCCTAGAAACTGGAATTACAGGTGTGTGCCACCTTGCCTGGTATCTTAAATTCATCTTAGTGAGTATCTTCCCTCAACAGAACATAAATATATAACAGCACAGAATTGATGGGTTTTGTTTATTATTGTATTCCTAGTGCTTGGCACATAGTAGGCTCCCAGTTAATAGTTACTGAATGAATGTTAAAACCAACAAAAATGTCAGTTAATTATGAATATACTGAATAACACATAATATTTTAAAACTGCTTTTGCTAATTTTATTTTGCCTGATCTATTGTCACCAGCACTTCTTGGCTGTTCTAAAATTATTCCTCCTCCTACATTTTATCTTATTTACCTCTCACTGTTCTCAGTATCATCAAGAGCAACATCTCTTTGAAGAAATCTGATTTCTAAGGAGACACATTTGCTTATTAATACAAAGTCTTTTTCTTTAACAATGGTGAAGAATTAGTTTGTGTACACATGTAAGATCTATCCCAACCTTGTCCTTATGAATCTTTTCTTTGTTTTATAAATTCCTTTCCCTTTCCCTCAAAGAGATGATTATTTCTTTTGAAATCTAGAATAAATGAATGAGAACACAGAATTTCTTGGTCTGTTCTAGATCTCTCTCTCTTTTTTTGTGGTACTGGATTGAATCTAGTCTCACATATGCTAGGCAAGTGCTCTACTACTGAGCTATATGCCCAGACCATTTTATTTTTTATTTTGAGACAGTCTTGCTAAAGTGCCCAGCTGGCCTTGAACTTGAAATCCTCTTGCCTCAGCCTTATGAGTAGCTGGGATGCATCACCTCATAGGTTTCTATATCACTCCTGATGATCTCCACTGTCAAGGAAAATTTATGGAAAGTGCTGCACTCATGGAAGGAAGCAGATAAATTTTTCTTAACTGTGTGACTCAATGATATCAAATGTCTCTTGATTAGTTTGTAATATCAAATACATACCTCATCTAGGATCTTTCTTTCTTTAATAGACTGGGTCACCCCTAAAGAGATCACAGAAAAAAACAGGTTACATAGAGCAGAAGAACACAATCTTTTATGTGAAGGTGGAGAGTTGAGCAATTCACAAAAGAGCATGGGAAGAAGGTTCTCTCTGAAGCCATAGTTCTTTAATGAGGCTTATGGTAGAAATTTCCTCCTGGAGACACAGTTGATGCTTAATTTAAACATTGTAAAAGTACCTGCTGCACATGGAATTCTGCCTACTATTAAATAAATTCTCAGTTCATATGCAAACATTGCTAGAAGCAGATTAGGTCCTATTAGTTATAAAATAAATCCATTTCCCAACATCACCAGCTTAACTGAACAAAGCAATATGCATTAAAGATAAGGCTAGTTTTGTGTTACCAATAAAGACCTTTCTGGTAATTCAGACACAGCATCAGCAAAAACCTCAGGTGTTAGTTGTAAAAATGCAATTCTGAGGTGTTAAAGGAAGGAGGGGAGAAGCTGTATTGTACTTACAGAAATAGCTAACTACCCATTTTCCTCCTGCAATTCCGAGAAAATATTTCAGTGTCCGTTCACACACAAACTCAGCATCTGCAAAATGAAAAGCATATGAAGGATTACAAGAAGAAAACAAAGTCAGGAAGTTGCACCTAAGAAGAGAAAGAGCCCAGTTCCTGCTCTCAAGATCAATCTGGATTGATGGTTCCCACATCCCAGGAGATAGCATCCGAGGCTGGAAGCATCACTAATTATCACCAGCAGATGTGGATCTTTGGAAGCCCGAAGAAAAAGACAGAAAAGACTAGAGGAAATGTCTGTCCCATCTTCTAGATGCCAAGGCTAGCTCAAGAGCTCCACTATTGTGTTCAAGGAATTATCCACGTCAGCAGTGGTGATTGATGCAGATGGAAAAGATCTACTTTACTGGATGGTAATATGTGAAAGGAGAAAAAAACATTGTTGAAACCTTAATTTTGAAATGTCAACATGACAAATTTTCACCCACATAACTTCTACCTGGGGAATCCTACCCGCCTTGTATTCCTCTGAGAGGGACAGAAAAATACAGTCTCTTCATAGCTTTTTTCTTCCCTACATAAGTATTTCTGAAAGCAGTAACTGAAAAATCACTTCTATTTATTTCCTAGTGTTTCAAAGATCCTTTTGAAGAACTAAAAAACCAAGAAAAAGCCATTTAGTTTTAAACAAGAGAAATGTATTTAACTAGATGCTAAACACAGCAGGCCATTCTCCCTCACAGAATTCTTCACTATTTTTGAAGTCTTTTTTTCTTTTTGGTTGTTGTTCTGGTGATCAAACCCAAGGGTGCTCTACTTCTGAGATATAGCACCAGCTGTGTTTTTACATTTTATCTATTTATTTTTAAATATATATTTTTTTAGTTGTAGAGGGACACACAATATCTTTTTTCTTTCTTTCTTTCTTTTTTTTTTTTTCTTGTGGTGCTGGGGATTAGAACCTAGGGCCGGGCTGGGGATGTGGCTCAAGCGGTAGCGCGCTCGCCTAGCATGCGTGCGGCCCGGGTTCGATCCTCAGCAGCACCACATACCAACAAAGATGTTGTGTCCGCCGAGAACTAAGAAAAAAGTAAATAAATGTTAAAATTCTCTCTCTCTCTGTGCCCCTCACTCTCTCTTAAAAAAAAAAAAATTAAATTAAATAAAAAAAAAAAATAGAACTAGGGCCTTGTGATGTGAGGAAAGCGCTCTACTAACTGAATTATATCCCTAGTCCTCACAGTATCTTTTATCATTTATTAAATTTATTTTTTATGTGGTGCTGAGGATTGAACCAGTGCCTCACACATGCTAAGCAAGTGCTCTGCCACTGAGCTACAACCCCAACCCCTACAATTTATTTTTGAGACAGGGTCTTGCTATGTTGCTTTTAGTATCCTTGAATTTGTGATCCTCTTGCCTCAGCCTCCCATGTGCTAGGATTGCAGGCATGTACCACTATACCTGGTTTGAAGTTTTTCTTCTTTTTTAATACCCTGATTCTTGGGACTGAATCCAGGTGCACTTTACCACAGAGTTATAGCCCAGCTCTTTTATTTTTAGACATAGTCTCACTTACATTGCCCTGGCTGGGCTTGAACTTGTCATCCTCCTGCTTCAGTCACCAAAGTAGCTGGGATTACAAGTGTGTGCTACCATGATCTGGCTCTTTTTTTTTTTTTTTTTAAAGAGAGAGAGAGAATTTTAAAATATTTATTTAATTTTTCAGTTTTCAGTGGACACAACATCTTTGTTTGTATGTGGTGCTGAGGATCGAACCCGGGCCGCACGCATGCCAGGCAAGCGAACTACCGCTTGAGCCACATCCCCAGCCCAAGATCTAGCTCTTATTTCTTCATGTGGTTTATGCAGCAGATGCAACACATTCTATAAAGGTTCTTAGGACAGTGCAGTTGTGCACATCTATAATTCCATCTACTTAGAAGGCTGGGACAGCAGAATTGAAAGTTCTAGGCCAGCCTCAGCAACTTGGTGAGACCCTATCTCAAAAAGTAAGAAAGGAAAGAAGGAAGAAAGGAAGGAAGGAAGGAAGATAGTTGGTTCTTGGTATACCTGTTTTCATAACGACGTGAGTAGTCTCTTCAGTAATTAGATTACTTAAAATGATATGGTGTTTTTTGGCAAACTTGTGTACAAGCATCTGAAATCAAATCAAATGCTGTATTATAATAAATTACATCTAGTACATAAATTAAGTATTAATTATGTTAGCTCTAAATCTCTATTTTTCTCAGAAAAGGTACATTTTTTAAATCTTAACATGCTTGAAGTCTCAAAAATGAATAATCTAATAAAAATTATGTACAAACTAGAGCAAAACATTCTAATATAATGTAACAGTGTTAGCAGACATGGAATTAAACCAAAAATTCAAATAATATAAATTTTATCATTAATAGCAGATATCATTTGATTCCCTAATACAATTTCTTTTCAACTATACTTTAGATTTATTATTATTTATTATTATTTAGATTTATCTATAATCTAGCTTTCACTTTATAAACTGAGAGGTAACTAACCTCTACAGAAAGTTATGCTACAGATAAATGTGGCTAAAAAACAAGAGTCGATTCTCTGATAGCTAAAAAACACTCAGTGAAGATGTTTCTAAAGGTCAGTGCAAAAACTATCAATTCTCTCTAAGGAGGATTCGAAGAGACTCATTCTTTGCAAAAGAAATCTGGAGTCCTTTAGCTATTATCTATTAACCAAATAAAAATCAATAGGCAGTGAAAGAAATTAACCAGAACCATTATGAGCACAGCTGACATAATTGGTAGCTACTGTATGGAAAATAACTTTGTTTACCAAGGGCCATCATTTACTAGCCATCACCACCCACTCCAACATTTATGTGCTGTATAATATTGTAATGGAGGTCAGGCCATCTTTCTTTCATGCTGCCTCACTCCATACTGCCATGAGGCACTGAAAAAAGGCAGACTAGAGAAGCTAATGACATCCTCCTCCTTTTGCCACTGCCCTCTGCCAGGATCATTAGCAATTCTGAACTGATTAATTGCTGAAACCTCAGCCTTGAAACAGTGTTCAGTTAGAGCAACTGCTGAAAAGATCATCTTAATACAGGCTTCAGAATTAATCATGTGTAATACAGTCAGTAGCTTTCATCATAAATTTATCACACTTCAGCAAGTCTGAAAAGAGCTCGAAGTTTTCCTCTTTGCTTGTTTAAAAACAGCATGTACCCAAGCCACTATAGTTTAATCTGCAGTTTAGAATTGCCCATGGCAAAAAAGATTAGATCATTTTAGGCATCTCTGAAAACCTAAACTCTCAAAACAAAGGAATAAGGAATGCTAATTTTCAATGGATATACGGGAATTCTCAATGTGTGGACAACTGATCAAGAGCCATTTAATCAGATATACCATAAGAATTTTCAGAGCCAATTGCTGTGAAGTGAGAACATCAACAGCTGCCATCTTGCACTTAAATATTGTATCTATCAGGGCACAAACAGGTTGCTTCTTTGCCCTTTAGACCATCAGACCAGAGAATGTTATTCTGAGTCACTATCCATGGAGAAGTTAGGATGAGAAATGGTTCTCATCCTAAGAAGGATATATTATGAAAGATACTTCAGAATGAATTGGTTGCCTCTCTGTGTGCAGTTCATGGCACCAACTATTGAATCCAATTGATAGGCTGATATGTTATCTTGTCTTCTTTTTTTGGAACTGGGGATTGAATCCACTAAGCCACATCCCCAGCTTTTTAAAAAAAATTTTATTTTGGGACAGGGTCTTGCTAAGTTGCTTAGGGCTTTGTTAAATTGCTAGGCTGGCTTTGAACTCACAATTCTCCTGCCTCAGCCTCCTGAGTTGTTGGGATTAGAATCATGTACTATCACACCAGTCTTATCTTAAAGAAATTCACTCATTATTTTATTATGAAGTAATACCAATGCCAATTACAGGTAAAGTAAATTTCCCAGGATGCCTAAAATCTACAAGAAGCCTAATTAAGAACAAACAAGATTTCAAGGGTCTTTTTTTTTTTTTTAAAGAGAGAGTGAGAGAGGAGAGAGGGAGAGAGAGAGAGAGAGAGAGAGAGAGAGAGAGAGAGAGAGAGAGAGAGAATTTTTTAATATTTATTTATTTATTTTTTTTAGTTCTTGGCGGACACAACATCTTTGTTGGTATGTGGTGCTGAGGATTGAACCCGGGCCGCACGCATGCCAGACGAGCGCGCTACCACCTGAGCCACATTCCCAGCCCGATTTCAAGGGTCTTAATATGTTAGTGGGTATTTTCTACAATGTGAAACAATTCCCATTTCTGGCACAAGGGGTCCAAGGAGATGCCAAAATTCTAATAGCAAAGGTTGTTATAGGGCAGAAATGACAGGGCAGGGTACTGAATAGCTGTCTTAGAAGCCAGGATAAAGACAAACACACACTGAAAAAACACCATTGTTAAGCAGAAACAGGTTAGTAAGTTCAAACTGAGGGGGGAAAAACAAAGAATGCCTCTCAGAGAGCAGAGCCATACCTACTTGAATTATTAAGTAAAAAGAAAATTTTAATTCTAAAGTTTTATATCATATTCAAAAGCATGCCTTTTCTGCTAATATTTAATAATTCTTTTTCACAAGTAAATATATGAGAAATCCCATACCTGAACTTTATCTAGATGCAAATTTTCAGAAATTGGGAGTGAAAATTAAATCACATATAATTCTGCTTATTGCATAAATTTCTTCCTATAGGTTATTCATTGCTAGTACCTATATAAAACTATACATAACTATTTAAACTATGTAAAACTATTTGTAGCATGTTGTTAAATTTTAGTCATTACAGAGATACATATAGATACACTCACAAGTTCTTTGGGGGTCAAGCCAGATACCACCATGGATATTCTCTGCTTGGTCCTTTCTGTTGGAGATGTGAATTCTGGCTTCTCCCTGCTCATACTTTCTTCCCGTGCGTTATACCCAGCAGTACAAGTAGTGTGAGCAACAGCTGGACTGTTGGCAGATTGTCCAACTTGAAACTGGGATAATTTCAATGCAGAGGATGAAGCTGGTACATTGCAAACATGAACTGCCTCTGGGGCTTTGTCTTTAGGGGGATCAGAATCAGGGTCCTTAGAGAAGAGGCTGATTCCAGATTCCAGGTAAGGGGTTCCCTCTGAAAGGAACCAGAGAAATTTAATTTATAAGACAATGAATCTTGAATTACAAGATTTCAGTGTTGGCTAAGAATTAAAGGTGAAGTTAGGTTAAGAGCAGAAACAGGTACAATATACACAGATACATTGTTGGTGGAAGTGCAGTGGCTTAACAATATGTCATTATGTAGCAAAAGTTTTAACATGTGTTCACACTTTCAGTCAACAATTCTAATTTTAGAAATGCATCCTAAGGAAATAAGAGATATATGCAAAGGTTTAGTCATAGGGATGTTCACTGCAACACTGTTTATATAATAGTTTAATTTTAGAAATGATCTCATGTCCAATATGAGATTAAATAAATTGTGATACATTTATTTCAAAGGAGTTACTCTTCCCTTATTACAGTTTGAATACAAATGCTGATGTTCAATAAAATGAAGAAATGTTTCTAATATATTAAAGATGATAGCAAAGATATTATTTATCTTGACTCTATTTTATTATTTTTTTTTGATTGAGACGAGGTCTTAGTACGTTGCTCAGGCTGACCTCAAACTCATGGGCTCAAGTGATCCCCCAAGTAGTTGGAACTGTAGGCCTATATGGCTGTACCTGGCTTTTTTTTCTTTACTTATTTTGTGGTCCTGGGGATTGAATTCAGGGCCTTGTGCACGCAAGGCAAGCATCTACCAATGGGGAATATACCAACTATATCCCCAGCTCTTGACTGTATTTTAAAATTAAAATTTTACGTAAAGTAACTGGAAAAAAAAAAAAGCAATGTTTCATTGTTAATGGATAGGAACACAGGTAATTTTAATATCCCTCATTTTTTATTTCCTATATTGTCCAAATTGTGGACAATGAACATACAGTACTTTTATAAGGAAGGAGAAGGAGGTTAAAAATATGAGAAAGACTCCATTTTCCTTCTTGCACTTACAATGATACCATTACATTTTCTATTTAATAAATCAACAGAAAGCACTACCAAATTAGAAACAGTAGACACCATCCTTGAAACATTTCAAAAAGTGTCATTCTGTCAGAAAGTAAGTAGATAAATAAAAGGTCTGAGATTCTTAAAATTGACCCTAATGAACCTGGCCAAATGCCACATTTGATGCCACGTACAGCCTTTGATGATAATGTGTTTTTGAGGATTAATTAAAAACTTTCATTACTGATTAAAACTTTGATTTAAAAGCCATCCAAGATACTATCCATTAAAAGAGATTTATAAAGTATAAAATATATGGTTATTTGTATTCATTAATTCATAAATAAGAGGTTGCATTGGGATTCCATTTTCTTTTCAATAAAGAACAGGTGTAAAACTTTACTCTAGGGCCTTAGAACTTTTATCTAATAGTTGAAGTAAAATATTTAGAGTATACTTGACTCCTTCATTCTTAAAACTGTTACTTAAACCAATATAAACAGATTAAAAAAATACAATAATTTTTTTTTAATTTTTTTTTTATAGAGAGAGTGAGAGAGGAGAGAGAGAAGTTATTTTTTAATATTTATTTTTTAGTTCTCGGCGGACACAACATCTTTGTTGGTATGTGGTGCTGAGGATCGAACCCGGGTCGCACGCATGCAAGGCGAGCGCGCTACCGCTTGAGCCACATCCCCAGCCCCCAAAAAATACAATAATTTTCAAGTAAACTTGGAGTAATTCAAGTGTTAACTCAAGCTATTTTTCAAAATTAGGCTTCAGTATAACAGAAGTATCCATGATAGGTTAGTATATCTGAAGTTGTACCACTGTGCCTGGCTTATGACTATATTCGTGATTAACCAGAATACCTTTATATAGGATTAAAATAAAATAAAAAGTGTTTTTCCTATTAGAATATCTGAAATATTACCTAGATCTTGCCTTGGCAAGTAAGACTGTTCCATTAAATCAGGTGGCTCAGACTTTTTCAGTTCTTGCTCTTCCACATCAACAATCTTAATGAGATCCTCTTGAGAGGGACAGTTTCTGTTTTGAAGACTCGTAGTGTGACTATGAGCAGACCACCTATTATCTACCAACTGGGCTTTAGAAGTGGGAGAAGACCTGGAAAGATAGATGAAAGAAGAAAACCATCACCACCAACTCTGAAAGGACTGATCATAATTCCCAGGCAGCTAAAGCAGAAGTGAAACAGTTCACTGTCAGAGAAATAAGGAATGACTAGTAAAAAAGCTCACATGACCTCCTAGAAGTCTGGATTCATGCTGCCTGCCAACATGCCATGGCTGACATATGACATCTCCTCTGAGGGGTTACTCTAAGGCAATATATCTCCTAGCTGTTGAAAAGCACATCAGTAATTTTTACCAAATTATACACCACCACTCACTCAAATTCTATATAGTATTCTACTTGAGTCCACACGAATATATTAGAATCAGACCTTTTACGAAGATAGAAATTTGATTAATGTTGACATCTGTATACTTATTCTTTCTACCTACTTTGGGCAGAATTTACAGAATCATCCTTATGCCTTGCCTTTTCAATGTCCAAAAACAAAAGTCATTTATAATGGACAGGGATGTAGCTCTGTGGTAGAGAGCTTGTCTAACATGTATGAGGCTCTGGGTTCAATCTCAGCATTGTCCCCCCCACCCCCCCCAAAAAAGAAAAAAGCCAACCATTAAATATTGTTAGAATATGCAACCATAAGCAGTTCCTCTACTCTTTCAGGTGTTTAGGACTTTGAAAAAATAATTATCAATAGGTTTAAAGGGCTCAGACATTAATTACTTGAACATTTAATTACTGGCTTCTTACTATGAGTTAGGCATTAAAGTCAAACCCTGTGGACAGAAGATGAGCAATAACTGAATTGCTAGTTGTCTAGTAGAGGGAGGAAGTTCAATTATGTGTAGGGTCTATGATAAAAGTCTCTATTTAATCTGAATATTAAGTGGACAGTTAGCTCAAATGGTTAAAGCAGGACAATGTGGACATTACTCCTAAACATGGCTTTCATGCCTACAGAAACCAGATCTTTTCATTATCCATCACAATCACTAGCTTCAAAAATATATCCTTGGTTAGAAGCCAGGAGTGATTGTGCATGCCTATAATCCTAACAACGCAGAAGGCTGAGGCAGGAAGACTGCAAGTTTGAGGCAACTTGGTGAGGCCCTCGGCAACTTAGTGAGACCAGGCTTCAAAACAAAACAAAAGACTGGGGATGTACCTCAGTGGTAAAACACTACTAAGTTTAATTCCCAGGACCTCAGTTAAGCCCAAAGGGCTTAGAAAATAGGATGTGGTTAGATTATTGACAACCTAGCACCATTCCCAAAGTTAAGTAAGAAACATATACAGGAAGTCACACAGTAGGGATTTAATAAATATGAATTCTTTATACTTTCTGGAGTGGTGAGATATGTGACCCTAATGGCTTGAGTATTTTTTAAAATATAAAGTGCTATACAGTCATATATAAACAATGTTTTGAACATACATCCTTTAATAATACTCTAAATATTTCCTGAGGTAAATCAACAGGCAATTTTTTTCTAGAAAGGCAAACATTTCAATCAGAGAAAGGGATGTCTTGGGGAAGTCTACCATCATCCTGAAGGCTTGCTCAGGTTTTAGTTCTACTTTATTTAATTTTTTGATTTTGTAGTGCTAGGCATTGAACACAGGGTGCTCCAATCACAAAGCAATATCCCCAGCCTTTTTTATTTTGAGACAGGGTCTTGCTAAATTGTCCAGACTGACCTCAAACTTGTAATCTTTCTGCCTTAGCCTCCCAAATAGCGAGATTACAGATGTGCCACCAGACCAGTCTAGGTTTTAGTTCTACCATAGTATATTCTGACCTTCAAATAACTGTACAATTCTCATGTGTAGCTTATGCATTGTATAGGTCCTAAAAGCCTATATACAGTTAAATAAAGGAAGTGTTAAAGAGCAATGAGAGGTTATAAATGCCTTTCTACAAGAAAAGAAAAAGGAAAAACCTGCAGAGTAGGGGGAAAATTAACAATAAGAGTGCAGTGCATACATATGTTACTTCAAGACCACAACTTGACATTTCTTACCTTTTTATTTCCAATTCTTTGTTTTTACTAATGGATCTATTTGGAGATATCCAGAACTTGTCAGGAGAAAGCTTTTTAGGATTCAGACTTACAGGATATTCATTACTTTTCTGTGACGTTAACACTGTTTAAATGGAACGAGAAAACAAAGAAATCTACTTTAATTCTTTGTCCTGGTGGGTATAATTTAGGTTTTATATATATATATGTATGTGTGTGTATATATAGAAATATTAAAAAAATATTTTTTTAAAAATATTTTATTCCCTAGTTTTAGGTGGACACAATATTTTATTTTTATGTGGTGCTGAGGATCGAACCCAATACCTCATGCATGCTAAGGCAAGCATTCTACCACTGAGGCACAACACCAGCCAGAGGATATATATTTAAAAAAAATTTTTTTTTGGTACCAGGGATCGAACCCAGGGGCACTTAATCACTGAGCCACACATCCTCAGCCCTTTTTTAATTTTGAGATAGGGTCTCACTAAGTTGCTTAGAGCCAAAGTTGCTGAGGCTGGCCTTGAACTTGCAATCCTCCTTCTTTAGCCTCCCAAGGTGCTGGGATTACAGGTACACATACCACATCCAGCAGGATATTTATTTTTTAAAAGCAGTGATCTGCACTAGGTGTGGTGGTTCAGAAATTCCAGCAATTCAGGAAGCTTGTAAATTTGAGGCCAACCCAGGCAATTTACTGAGATTGTCTCAAAAAATAAAAAGGATCTGGGCACAGTGGCACACTCCTGTAATCCCAGTTGCTTGGGAGGTTGAGGCAGGATCACGTGTTCAAAGCCAGTCTCAGTAAATTACAAGGCCTTAAGCAACTCAGTGAGACCCTGTCTCTAAATAAAATACAAAAAAAGGGCTAGGAATGAGGCTCAGTGGGAATTGACCTCTGGTTCAATTCCTAGTACCAAAAAAAAATAAAAATAAAAAGGGCTGGGAAGGTAGCTTAGTGGTAGAGCATCTCGGGATTCAATTCTCAGTACTGCAATTAAAAAAAAAAAAAAAAAGTAAAAGCAGCAATCTGTGAATATCAAATTGGATGTATTGTCTACTCCAGGTTGGCAGATGAAAACCAGGGCACTCTACTATTGAGCTACATCCTCAGCTCTTTTAATTTTTATTTTGAGACAGACTCTCTAAATTGCCCAAGATGGCCTTGAACTTGCAACCCTCTTGCCTCAAGTTTCTCAAGTCAGTAGAATTACAAGTTGAGTGCCACCTCGCCCTGCTCCAATTTGTTCTTAAATATTGGACAGAATTTTACAGGTATAAGTGATACAAGACAGGTGTTAGCACCAAATGGAACTAAATAATTAAAAAATAAAAATGAAGTCAGATATGGTGGTCAAGTCTGTAATCCTAATTACTCGACTCTGTTTCTTTTCTTTTGGTACCAGAGATTGAACCCAGGGGAACTTAACCACTCAGCCACAATCCCAGCCCTTTTTTATTTGTTATTTTACTTTATTTTTCTGTGGTGCTAGGGATTGAACCCAGGGCCTTGTGAATGTGAGGCAAGCACTCTACCAACTGAGCTATACCCCCAGCCCTATTCTTTATTTCGAGACAGGGTCTCACTATGTTGGTTAGGCCTTGCTATGTTACTGAGGCTGCCTTTGAACTCCTAATCTTCCTGCCTCAGCCTCTGGAGCTGCTGCTGGAATTACAGGCATGCACCACTGTGACTGGCAACGACACCCTGTTTGATTGAACAAATGAGTGAGTAAATAAAAATGATAACGAAAAAGAATACAATTCAATAACTAAAAACACTCAGCTGAGTCAAGGCTAGAAAAAACATGTATTTCTATTTTTTGGACCTAAATGATCAGAAAATAGGAATACGTGTATTTTTATCTCTGCAGCAAACTAAATTATACCCAAACCCCTCAGGACATAAAAAGCACGAGAAAGCGCAAAGCACATTTCCTTTTCCTTCCCCAATGCCTGTACATCAAGTCTGTGTGAGATGGGGGTTTCAGCTTTTTTGCATGTGTTGGAGGAGTCAGATGAAGATAAGTAAGAAGAAGCAGGTCACATTTTGCTTCACATTTTCATTTACTAAAACAACAGAACAAAAACCAACTCCTCAAACAAACAAGCTGAAAAAATAAACACATAAATATACAACACAAGATGCTAGCTGGGTACAGTGGAGCATGCCTATAATCCCAGCAACCCAGGAGGCTGAAGCAGGAGGACTGAAAGTCTGAGGCTGCCTGGGCAACTAACTTAGTGAGAGACTCTATCACAAAATTAAAAAAGGGCTGAGGATGTAGCTCAGTGGTAGAGTGTCCCTGGCTGCAATCCTCAGTACAAAAAAATACTACCCCCTCCCCAAGAAAAAACCAATAAAACAAACAAAAAGGTACTAGTGGATAAGGAACCTTGAAGTGACATAAGGAACTAATAAAATGGCATAGAAGGGAAAAAACATAACAGACCTAAGGCAAAGTTCTGGCATTTTAGTACATTTTACTTATTAACTCCTCCAGATATATTGTTGTGGCTTAAAGGCGTAACTATTTAAAGAGAAGAGTGGTGATGCACACCTGTAATCCTAGTGACTCAAGAGGCTGAGGCAGGAGGATTGCAAGCTTAAGGCCAGCCTCAGCAGCTTAGAGAAGCCCTAACCAACTTAGTGAAACCCTGTCTCAAAATAAAAAATAAAAAAGGGCTGGGGAGGTAGCTCAGTGGTACAGTGCCTCTGGATTCAATCCCCAGTTCAAAAAAAATAAAATGTTTATCCTTTAAAAAGTCACTGATCATTGTAATTAATGTTGAGCTTTTAAATAGAAAAGCTAAAATTCATAAATAGAGGCAAAAAAAATTTAAACAAAAGGTTTTATTAATTAAACTGCTTTTTAAAGACACTGCTAGGGGGGATAATCATTGATTTTCTGAGTTAATCTTCAAATGCATTATTCATAGTTTCTTTTATGCTCATCTTTTCTGGAACTGTAAGTTTCTAGGAACACAAGAACTCTGCGTAAAGCCACCAGCTGCTGAAAATAAGTAGGTCCTAACCATAAACTAACCATAAATATAGGTGTCATTTATCTTTCCAATACAGAGTGATAATTGATAAAGGAAATTGTGCAGCTTCTAAAGAATCAAACCATTGTGAAGGTGAAAAAGAAAGGGAAAAAAAAGGAAAGGAAGGAAAGGGGAAGCTTCACATATAAACACAGCTACTAAAAAGCCACTTGGAACCAAGTGCAGTGGCACAAATCTTTAATCCAGGCAACAAAGGAGTCTGAGGTATGAGGATTGCAAGTTTGAGGCCAGCCATAGACATTTAGTGGAACCCTGTCTTAAAAGAAATATAAAAAGGGATTCAGTTCAGTGTAGCATGCACCAGGTCCTGGATTCAACCCACAGCATTGCCAAAACAAAACAAAACAAAACAAAATAAATCACCAAAACATTTACCTTAAGCTAACCAGAGTCAGGAGTCAATAACTTAACAGTCTAAAAAACAAACAAAAAAAAGTTTTGAAAAGCAAAACTTTTCTGCTCTCCTTTTTCCTTAATTCTATTTCATTCCCTGAACAGTATGCCAAATCCACACCTTGTGATATCATGAACTATTTGTTAACTTTAAGTATAAATGTATGGATCCAGAGGTCAGGTTCCAAGACTGTGTAGAAATTTCAACCCCTTTTTTTGTGGTACTGGGGATTAAACCCAGGCACACTTCACCACTGAGTAACATCCCCAGTCCTGTTTTTATTTTGAGACAGCTGGCAAAGTTGTTAAGGGTTTCACTAAATTGCTGAAGGTCTTGCGGAGTTACTGAGATTATAGGTGTGTGCCAACATGCCTGGACCCTTTTAATTTTTTTTTAATTTTGAGACAGGGTCTTAGTAAATTATCAAGTAAGTTGAGATCCTTCTGTCTCAACCTCCTGAGCAGCTGGAATTATAGGCCTGGCTCTGAAACTCCCTTAAATCATTCTCTCATCTGGGATCTTAATATGTTACATTCTTTATGGGTAGGGAATTTGGGCTGGATCAAACATTTAATAAATTTATTGACTGTCCACTTTGTACTAAGCATTGTACAAGTAACATTATTATTATTTTAAATATATTTTATTTTATGTGGTTCTGAGGATTGAATCCAGTGCCTCACGCATGCTAGGCGAGCACTCTACCTCTGAGCCCCTACAAGTAACTTATTGAGAATAATTTTCTGATTTGAGATAGTGAGGCTCAGTAACTTATTGAGAGCTTGCCTAGCATGTGAGAGTTCAATCTGGGTTCAATTCTCAGCATCACATAAAAATAAATAAATAAATAGATAAAATAAAGGTATCATGTCCATCTACAACTAAAAATATTAAAAATAAATAGTAAAATAGAAAACATACAGCCCATAATGAAATTTGGCTTTAAAAAGTAACTAACCCATCCGGGCATGGTGTTACATGCAAGTTCAAAGCCAGCCTCAGTAACTCAGTGAAACCTTGTCTCAAAAATAAAAAGGGCAGGGGATGTGGCTCAGTGGTTAAGCACCTCTATGTTCAATCTTTGTTACCAACAAAACAAAACAAACTTTAAAAAAAAAGTACCTAACCAATCCACCCAACTAATTCAGAATTCTCAAGGAAGAAGCCTAGAAATTCTTTTTTAATTTTTCTTTTTGGTGCTAGGGATTGAACTCTGGGGTACTTAAACACTAAGCTACATCTCCAGCCCTTTTTAAATATTGTATTTAGACATAGAGTCTTACTAAGTTGCTTTGAACTCATATGATCCTCCTGTCTCTGCCTCCGAAGCCGCTGGGATTACGGGCGGGCACCACCATGCCTGGCTAAGAAGCCTAGAAATTCTTAACAGTTGCTTCCAGGAATGAAATATATTGTAGGACAGAAAAGTTCAGGCATATCTTGCACTGTAATGGGTCATATTCTCACAAATGTTAACATTTATGGTTTGAATGATAGGAAATCCAGGAAGTAAATAAAAGCACCTGGTAAAAAATAGTACTCAAATATTATTGGGAATAACCCTTTGTAAACAGTAGGAAGGCCTATGCTGAATAGGAGAACATTGATGTTAAAACCCTGGTTGGTTTATAAAAAATGACAAAATCATAGAATTTGGWGGGAAATGGATGGCATTAGAGCAGATTATGCTAAGTGAAGCTAGCCAATCCCTAAAAAACAAATGCCAAATGTCTTCTTTGATATAAGGAGAGTAACTAAGAACAGA